TGAGGCATTTATTTTTATACTAAAATATCTGAATTACTTTGAATAAAACTGGAAATTATGTCCCTTAAAATAATTAAACAAATAAGGCACCAATGTTTTTGTAAGATATTTACATCTTTAAAGGACATTCGGTAGACTGATTCCCCACTGTTGGTTCAACCCCAAAACTTGTTTGTACTCAAAATTAATTATGACAATGCATATTTATATTGAAACAAAATATGTTAAAGGGAATTATATTATATAACAAAGGGCAAGGTCACCAGAGTTCAACTATGTTTTTAAATTGGTACATCAGGTTACAAAATACCGTGACCCGAGCTGCCATAACCTCAATATTGGACTACCCATTTCAAAACTACGGTTGTACATCGGACCAATTATTATTATCGTAATTATATGCTAGCCATGGAAGTTATGCTAACATATCCTTTTTTATATATTTTGCTAAAACTGCCTTCAAAAATAATCGTGCAAATCTTCAACAATCTTTGTTTTTGCTGATCCAGATTGTTTGTTGAGTGAAGTGATCACCATTGCCCACCATGTGGTGCCAAGAGTTCTGAACCGGAGAAAACGATGTATGGCTATTGAACTCGCTATTACTAGTATATGAAACAGCGAGACAGTCGCATCCTTCCATCATATGCATATAACGTACGTTTGAAAATTATTGGTTAAAAGCAATAGAAGTGAAAGACGCATCAACGAGCCTCAATGGTGTCAGCGTAATGTCCTCGAAGCCAATGCGAATCAATGTAATGCCTAGTGCCATCGTCCGTGTCGCATGGTTTACCTTTACCTCCACGGTTTCGCCTGGGACAGCTAATAAAGTTATTATTAGTTGTCTGGGGTTTCGCGAACTCTTGTCAACCCCCGTCATGTGAACTTGAAGAAGTGTTGAATAAACCAAAGACACTACTGTCTTTGAATAAACAGATAAATACGGAATAGCAAATATGTATAAATAAATATTAATTGATCGAACTCAGAACCAGTGACGTTTAATTCAGGACTTAGTGAATTCTATGTTATCGCTAATCCTGTAATAGTAGGTCCAGGCTGGAAATATAACTGTTCATGATATGATTTGCCAGTAGTTAACAATATTATATTCTTGTGTGCAATACAACAGGAGAAGGGCGGTGAGCAAACGATCAGATACGAAATGCTTGTTTCAAAATGTTCCCATGAAACAAATACATACATACATACATACCCACACATTGTAATACATGTAATACATAGTGACCTTTATGAAGAGAAGAGACATATACTGTTCAACTTATTCTGTGGTGATGTATTTAATAACAACAACATGGACAATATTAGTAATAATCAAAGAACTGACATTGACTACTAATTCAATCACACTTTGGATTACCTAAGAACATTTCCATAACAAATGCGGACAGTGTAGCTAATTTCATTTAGTGTTTTAAGCTTTATTATTGGCTGAACCCCAAAACAAATGCAAATTGTCGTTATGGTGACAATAAACAATCTTCTATATATAGTCTATGATGTTTACTTCCGCCACATATTAGAGAGTGATGAACGGTTACGAAACCATGCGAATTCTATTCTATTCTATTCTATTCTATTCTATTCTATTCTATTCTATTCTATTCTATTCTATTCTATTCTTTTAATTGCACAGCCCCACGACGAATGAAAAATTTATATTTTTAATGAGTAACGAAAATATTAATATTGCACTAGCTAAATTTATCAAAATTAAAACTGATACAAGACAGCAAAACCCCTAATTAGTAGATGTATTCAATAATGTTTACCACGTTTTTTTGATTGTTTAATAAGTACTGTACTTTATTTTTGCATTTTTGTTTTGTAACCATTTTAATTCCTCGTCTCGATAAAGATAAAGGTTATTTACGGGCTGGATGGAAGAGTCAGCTGCTATTTATTCCCCGTTCGAACAAAGTCCGACAAAAATGGACGATTGGCGGCCTTTTTTTCATTCATTTCTTTGCTGGTTTCTCACTAATATTTCGCCCGATTCATAATATATCACAATAGCAATTTTAGGAGAGCTTGGGAGATACCCATTATTCATTAAAATGCGCAAATGGTTAAATATTGGTTTAGACAAAACTTTCCCAACACACCACAAATTATATATGGCATTAAAGGAGATGGTCAGTGGCGGATCCAGAGGGGGGCCAGGGGGGCCATGGCCCCTCCTAAACGCATGACGATTCATATCATCTGGATTACGCATAGCTTCTTTGCAATTTACGCTCCGTATATCTTAAGCGAAGCTTGGGAACCCCCCCCCCCCAATACATTTTGTTGGATCCGCCACTAGAGATGGTAGCACTCAAACTTAGTTGGATTAATAAAGTAAAAAAATCATTGCAGATAATAATTTAAATAGTTACATCAGACAACAAGAAAAGTCTGATAAAGATCCTTTGAATAAAAAACTTAACGTAAGAATAAATGTTTAGACAAATAAATTAGCCACATACAGACAATATAAAATTGAATTTAAAATAGAAAATTATTTAACAGAGATCATCAATATTAAACTGAGATAACTGTTATGCAAATTCAGGATATCAGATCATAAGTTGCTAATAGAGACTGGCAGACATAGAGGGATACCAAGGGCAGAACGTAAATGCAAAACCTGTAATGTAATTGAGAGTGAATATCATTTCATGATGGAATGTAGAAATTATATTGAATGTCGTAAGAGACTTGTATTACAGAATAAAAACAAAATTTCGACACATTGCCTTCTGAAGTTCAATTTATTGAAATTATGAAGAAGTGCTCTGTCGATGTTGCACAATTTATCCAGTCAGGTATGAAAATCAGAGATGAATTATACATGTAACAGCTCCACCAAACTAAGTAGTATTAGTGCCTTATAGTAGCATTTATTCGTCCTTTAAGTAATACATTTTGGTTTATACGTTTCTAGTTTAATCTTGTTCTTAAATGTTTTGTTTTTTTGTTTTTATTTGTTAATTATACAACTTCTGTAGTATGTTTTTCGTGTTGAATAACATTATTATTATTATATGTTATTAGACCCCTTTCGGACATATCGATTGACCTCCGTGTGTGCTTCCGTGCGCGTGTCCATCCCATCCATATCCAGCAGTATCGTACACATGGTCCTTGAGCCACGTAATTTGGTTTCTTGATTGGATTTGTGTTATAGAATGCTGCCTTATGAAAATGATATACTTTCATCGGCCTTCATAGCCATTGGCGTCGCACGTTTTTGTTGCGCAAGTCCATGAAAGCTCTTCTGTGTCGATAAAAATCGTAATGTCTGAAAATAGCAAAAACACCAAATGTATCAGAAAAGACTAAAATACCATCACAACTTTATGAAGACTAAAAACCGACACCTGAATAGCTATGGATCCACGGCTACTGCCGTGGTAGGTGTATTTCTATTATACTAGGCTATACTAGTATACAATAATGTTATATAGTGGGAAATATTTAAACGACTTTTTCAAATTTATTGAACATACTAGTACTAAAGATTGAAAGGAAGAGTGGTCGCCCGACTGTATTTTAATGCAATATTTGTCATATGCCCCAGATTCGTACTGAGGATGGGGGTTTCAATAGCCAGGGTTACACCGAAAAACTTATTTTAACGACCCAATGGAATTTATGTGATCGAACGTTCCTTCGCCTCGCATTATGAAAACGGCCACGGGACGGTCGTTACACAGATAATCAGCTGCCGGGAAAGCGTTCTATTTCCCCCAGAAATTAGGTGTTAGTATGCAAGGGATTTCCAACGCATAAAACGACGGATTTTTTAAGCCGTTTTCAGGATACCTGTTCCCATGTAGAAAGTATCGGTAATTGTGGTTCTGAACGAAAAAGGCGTGGGAAAGACAGAACGTCCCAGTATTTGATGTATGTCCCGGTGTATGTCCCCCTACTGCAATATATTTTCGCCGAGAGTGGACGCGACCACAAATAGACGCCAGTGATACTCGAAACCGATCCAGTCAAAACCCAAGCAGTTATCCAATTCGCTAGCGAGTTTGCAAATTGACTGCCCTAATACTTCTGAGACTTTCTGTAAGAGATGGTCGTGTATGGGCTGCCATTTGTGCACTTATTTTATAGGGGTCGGCAAGGTTTTTTTTTCGTAAGCTGTAATAAATTGTTTTTATTTTCGTAATAATGTAATTCAAATAAATAAAAAACGTAAATGTGTAACCATGGGCAAGGTCTAAAATGTAATCAGCTATTTTATTCGTCCGTAATTTGTACAAATATTTTTTTCACATTAAATGTACTGATTAGTATGCATCCAATTTTGATTCTTAAACACAAATTATCATAAATATTACAAAAATGTAGAACGTAATTAGTAAAGTGTAAAAATATATTTTTACTGTGAATGAAACTTTCATTTTATTTTCTGTAAAAACGTAAAATGCCGTTTTTATGTCATGTAACCTGTACCAGCTACCCCTGCCCCCTATATAACCTTTCAGGGACGGATACAGGATTTTTTTTTATCGGGGGGGGGGGCAAACTTTAAAATCGCCAGACTAAGTTAATGATTTTTTATATTATACAAAAACAAATTGAATAATTTTTTCAAGGGGGGAGAACCCCTCTTTAAGATCCACCACTGCCTTTTCATGGATTTAAGTAACAATGAGATATAACAGTAACATGATGTTGCTGCATGTCAGGGTATGAACCAGGTTAAATTACAAAAACAGTTTTTTATTAATTTTTTGTACTCAATCTATTATTTATTGAATGTTTTTTTTTATTCAATTAAATTGAAACTTGATGTTTACATTCAGTGTATATCCCCAATTTATATACCATACAAAATCTCAATATGGACAAACACCGCTTTGCAATACCCACGTGTATGCGTGGTGAAATTATGGTGAACGAGGTAAAGCTCCCTTAGGTCGCGAAAGTTTGAAAATGACCCCTTAGAGCAGTATAGAATAGCCAAAAAATGCAAACCCTAACATTTTGATATGCCGTAGCATTTATAAAAATTGAACGTGTTTTTAACTTAAAATATATTAAAAAACATGATTGCAGTATTATAGTATTGTATCTCCCCAAATTATTGGATTTGAATAGGCTCGTACGGAAAATCAAATCAGTAAATACGCGAACGAGTACACGAGTATGATGCATTGTGGGAGTGTTGACTAGACGTTCACAGTCAACTGGTAAAGAGTGCTGTAGTGCGTGTTTGCGCTCTATCCAGACTTTTTCGAATCGGTTTGATTGGACGCAGATCGCAGCAAGAAAAATACGTTTTAACCCATCTTCTGGCGTTGTCATTAAACGGATTGCCAAGAAACGTCATATCGCTTATTTTAAACTTGTGAGTGATGGCACAGCGCAGACCATTCGACCCCGAAGCCCATGATTTGGACAAGAATTTCAGGCTCACGAAGTACGCTGATCTGAAGGGATGAGGGTGTAAAGTCCCCCAGGAGGCACTGCTCAAACTCCTTGAGGGACTTAAACAAGACTCGAACTCGGCCGATGAACAGCAACAGTATCTAAGTCCCACCTCTCCACGATTTGGTAAGTTTTCTGCGCTTCTTTGCAGGAGTAACTTTTTAGAGTTCGGCTTGGGAGGTCCAAACCTTACCAGGGATACTGGTTGTTCTCGTTCCATTCTGACCTATATGCATCCCTTAGTATGTCTTTAAATCTCAAATTTTTGCCAAAAATTGACAACGAATGGGATATATAGTACATAATGACCACATGCTATATTGAGACGAGCTTTAAATTTAGTCTAATTCGTGGTTTTTAACGTTTTTCCCTACGTGATGTAGCAACAAAGAAAATGGCGCCTAGGCAGTCTCAGGGAGACAACCCAGCCATGCAATCTATGCGACATGATTTGCATATCTAAACATTTGCTGACAGATGAACATCGGTACTGCTGTTTTTCTTCCGGGGTATTCATGTAACGCACACAGCTGAAAACACAAACTTATCTCGTTTTCAGTGAATTATAAATGTCAGTTTATGTATTTTAAAAGCCGATACAAATCATAACCTGATACTTTAGAAACTTATCTCCTAAAACTGACAAGTAAATTATTGTTTTATTATTTATTTAAACATTTGCATAGCCATTTGACCTGTCGCTGGCTCAAGGAGAAAATTTGTCAAAAATTTATAAATTTGTCATTCTGTCGGATCACCCAGTCATTTAGTGTAGTATCTGGTTACTACTTATTTTAATTATATATTTTATAAGAATAAGATAGATTATTTTTAATTTTAACTATTATTGTGTGACTGTAGGTATTGGATTGGATTGCAGTGTAACACCACTTCGGCATGGAGGCCTGTCATTAATCCAAACCACAGATTTCTTCTATCCCCTGGTAGATGATCCTTATATGATGGTATGTACTTCCATGGAACTATAAACCCCAGGAAGAACAACGAAACTAAGAGGATTAAAAAAAACCCTTGTCTTAGTTTATCTTACAGTGCTTTCGCTTTTGTTTCCACGACATTAGTCATACTCCATGTTAGTTGCCGCCGATACGCCCGTTTCAACCACTTTGCTGGAAACGGAAAACTTGAAAAAAAATTTTCATATCTGCACAGTAAAATATTTCGTTCACTACGCATGCGCAAACAAGTCGGTCTGCAGGGTGACCTTCAGTGTACCGGAAATCATGCAACGGGTCAGAGTTT